GGGGAGGGGACGGGGAAAACCGAGCGAGGGGGCGTGGCTTAAACGGGAGTGGCTTAAACAGGGCGGGGCTAATAGGGCGATGCTCTGGCTGACGTTGTATGGGCGGGGCCTTAGGAGGCAGGGCTTGGGGGGCAGTGCGGATGCCTCCCCGCCCCCCCCTTTAAACAAAAATAGGTAACTTTTTATTCATAACACCTGTGACGCCCCCTGTGTGCGCCCCCAGCCCCTCGCCGGGGGTCGCCCGCAGCCCCCCGAGTGCCTCCGGCGGCAGAAGCGGCGCGAGCTGGACGCGCGGCGCAGCAAGTGCCGCATCCGCATCGGGGGGCACCTGGAGCGCTGGTGCCGCCTCAAGGAGCAGCTCGGATTCGCCCTGCACTCCCAGCTGGCGCAGTTCCTCCTCGACAGGTGGCTCAAAACCCCCATTAAAAACCCGCCCCTGGCAGGGGAAAAACCCAGGGTTTCTGCTTGCTCACCTCTGTCTCCCCACGCAGGTACAGCTCTCACGGCTGCAGCTGGAGCACGGGTAGGTGCTTCCCTCCTGATTCTGTGTTGGCATGCAGTAGTTTTTAGAAGTTCATGGTGGAGAGGGAGGATTCCTCTTGGGATGGGTGCTGGAGAAGCACCTGGAGCTGTTCTTGGGTTTGCTCACCCCGCTGAGCACTAGGCAAATCCTCCCTTGGCATCCCCAGCTCCTTTTTGGGAAGCTGTTTGACAGTTGCTCTTAACAAGGAGAGCCCTAAGAGCCTGAGGAAGGTGGAGAGCGCCTTGCATCTGTCCCAGCCCCCACAAAAAGCCATTTTTGGAGCTGTTTTTTTCACGGATTTCTTTGTTTCCCCAGGAGAGCTGGAGCAGCTGCAGCCAGCGGCGCTGCAGCGCCTGGTTGTGCTGTCCCACGGCCACGGCCAGGAGTGTGGCTTTGTACCAGACATCCAGCTGCCAGCGCCAGGCAGCGCAGCCCCGCTGGTTTGGGAATGTGTGGCCGGGCACCGCTTCTCCTGGGGTGGCTCTGGGGGTCCCAAGAGCCCCTCCTGCCACCCGCTGAAAGCGGCCCAGGGGTGCAGCCCCTCCCCGGGCGCTGGGCGCCGGCGTTCGCTCCGCAGGGCCACGCCGGAGGGGACGGCCAGGTCACCCCGTGGTGATGGGGATCGGGGCGAGGACATGGGACATGGTGACACCGGTGGCACAGGTGAGCTCCTGCAGGTGACCTTTCTGCCCTCAACTCCCCTTGGTTCCCCACCTTCAGCCCCTCTCCCAGTTCTGAGGTAGTTCCAGTTCCAGCGCCATCCCGGTAGGATCGGATGCTGCCCCAAGCCTAGACCTTTCCAACACCTCCATCCTCCCCAGCTCTCCATGCTCCTCACCTCTCCCAGCCCTTCCTCACCACCCTCCTGTCCCCTTCCAGCCCCCCAGGTGCCGCCGGAACCAGAGCCTGTGGTGGCAGCTGGCGAGAGGTGAGTGCTGGCAGCCACAAGCATCCCCTGGTGAGGCCAGCGGTTGTGTTTGGCCCTGTCTGACCTGTCCCCACGTCCCCAACACCACTGTCTGTACCTGAGCCACCACGGCACAGCTGACCCAGGTCACTGTCCAGCAGCGCCATCCCGGGGGACGATGCAGAGCCAGGAGTTGAGCCCCGAGAGGAAGAGGAGGAAGAGGAGGACGAGGACTTTGCCAAGGGTGATGACCTGGCCTACACCGATGACCTGCGTGATGAGAACTATCACCCATCCCTGGACAGGTGGGACAGCTGTGAGGGAGCCTGCAGGTAGGGGTCGTGTGGGAGCCCCTCCGTGGTGCCCGCTGGCACCATCCCAGTCCAGACCAGTGTTGCACTGGAGAGGTTTCAGGCCTCACGTCTCTGCCATGTGCTTGTCCTGCTGCAGCTGCCCTGGCAGAGCGGGGAGGAGGTGGGAATAGTGTCCGTGTGGTGTTAAAATGAGGTGTTTCTGGGGTCAAAGGGCACAGAATTTTGGAGAGGCGTTTTCATTGTGTCTCACCTGGGGGAGGGTCTTTGCCATATCCAACTGATGTCCAACCATGTTGTACCATGTCCAGTCCATGTCCTGCCATGTCTAACCGTGTCCAACTGATGTCCAACCATGTTGTACCATGTCCAACCCACATCCTGCCATGTCTAACCATGTCCAACTGACGTCCAACCATGTTGTACCATGTCCAACCCACATCCTGCCATGTCTAACCGTGTCCAACCCACGTCCTGCCATGTCTAACCGTGTCCAACCCATGTCCTGCCATGTCTGACCGTGTCCAACCCACGTCCTTCCATGTCTAACCATGTCCAACCCACGTCCTGCCATGTCTAACCGTGTCCAACCCATGTCCTGCCATGTCTAACCGTGTCCAACTGATGTCCAACCATGTTGTACCATGTCCAACCCACATCCTGCCATGTCTAACCGTGTCCAACCCACGTCCTGCCATGTCTAACCATGTCCAACTAACTCATTTCCTACCACATCCAACCCGTATCTCACCCCATCAAGCACCCAGCCCCTCTCACCCACCCTGGTCTGTGCCCCCCACAGCGACTCAGAGCCCCAGCGGCGCCAGAGCCAGCCCAAGGCTCACAAGAAGCCAGTCAAGGACGAGCAGCCCCTGCTGGAGCCGCCCCTGCCCAGCTCTGGCCCCTTGGAGAAGAGCGGCCGGGTCAGGTGAGTCACAGCGGTGAAGGGACGAGGGGACGGGGGTCAGAGTCGTCATCTTGGGAGTGCCCAGTGCTGTTGGCCACGGGACAAGAGCTGTGTGTCCCCAGAGGGAATAAACCCCCCGTATGGTACCACTGAGTGTGGGGCAAGAGCTCCACGCGTGTCGTTGTGTGTCTCCAATGGGGGTCACCCATCACATTTTTGGCCTTGGGACAAGAGCTCTGTGTCCCCAAGGGGGGGGTTTCAATCCTCCCCACGACACTGTTGACTGCAGGGCAGAGCTTGTTTCTCGGTCTCATTGGGTGTTGAGTGAGCAAATGGGGACCTGGCTCACAAAGCAGGGGCTGCATGAGCCTGGTGTCGCCCACCCTGTCCCTTGTGGGACCGGCCCAGGGTGGGCAGGGAACAAGGACAGGCAGCCAAAGGTGGGGCTGCCATGGAGGGGAACAAAGACCCCTTGAACCAGACCCGTGGTGGGCATTGAAAGCTCCACTGGACTGGAGATGGAACAGCTCAAAATCCATCAATCCCACTACAATCTCCTCCACTGATGGATCCACAGCTTCTCCAGCAGCCTTGCAGCTGAGTGTTGGCTTTCCAGCTCTACTTTCCAGGCACACAAAATTCAATGTTTTGTGCTAAAAAAGCTTAAACCAGCCCTCAGGGCTTCGCTGGGGCTTTGCACAAGCGCTAGAAGGACGTTTGGTTGGGGCTTGGTCCGTGCACGGCCTCAGATCCAACACGCCTAGACACTTCACCTGGATGGATTTTCTTACACTTTTGGTACAAAAAAAGGGGAATCTGACATAACTCCTCCGTCTGTCCCCTGGAAGACGGGCTCAGTGCCAATCCCATGCCAAGCATTGCCCCAGGTGAGTGTTGTGCTGCTCCCTTCCAGCTTTGATTGATCCCTTTGAGCGGCTCCTTTTGGATGCTGAATGCCCTCCCCTCTCCCAGCAGCTCCAGAACCACCCCAGATGCAGCTGGAAGAGGCACCAGCCTTCCTGGAGACCAATCCCAGTGAAGGTAATGTTGGAATTTGCTCTTCCCCTCTCCCTGCCATTGCTGGGCATGCAGATCCCAGGCTCCCAAATCCAGTGCGAGGGTAGAAAAGTCTGTGTTCAATCTGGGCCGTTATTTTTTGGGTCAAAAGTGAGGTTTTTCCTGGTGTTTTTTTGGGTTCTGCCTGATTTCCATCCCAAATCCCATGGTCTAACCCTCCAAATATGTCCAGAGTTATACCTGTGGGTTGGTAGCTTTTCTGAGGCACCAGAGGGGCTTTCAGCTCTCTGCCTTCTCCCAAAGCCAAGCCCAAGCTTCAGGTCAGCCCTTTTTGGGCTAAGCTTGATGACACAGACCATATTTTTAATATTTTGGTTAATTTCCCCCCCCACCCTTTTGTCACAGCAAGTTGAAAATGGGAGATAAAATCCTGGCTTATGAGCAAAGCAGAACCTTACAGATGTTAAGGGGGTTCTCCTCCCTTCCCCAGGTAAAGTCACCCTGAGCTGGTAAAACTTGTTTTCAAGAGATTTGGGACAAGCCTCAGGCTGAGTCCATGCTTGAGCATTGGCATCTCTCACTATTCCATTACTTCTCCTCCCCAAACCCCACTTTAATCCACTTTTAATGGATTTTTCCTTAATTCCAGGGTGACAGCCAGGAATAGTTGCTGTTTCCAGGGAGCTATGGATGAATTATAGATCAAACCGGGCTGGGAGCCAATTTCAGTGTCCTGGGACGTGTCCAAACCATGTGAAAAGGATTTTGTAACAAGCAATAAAGAATTTATTCTTATTTCAATGCCTGAAGGATGCATTTGTTCCAGCGTCTCCTGCTGTCCATGGGGTGGAAATGGGAGAAATGCTGGTCCTGAGGATGATTTAATGTGGGATTTCCTCAGGAATCTTGGCTCTGGGCCTGGGGACAGTGAGGGGACAACAAGGCCTGGCTCAAAGTGGCTCTTTCCTATTGCAGTTGCCGTCGGCAGCCACGGGCAAGTGACAAGGACGTGGCTCAGATCGGCCCCAAGAGGATCAGGTACCTGGGAACGAGGAGGGAAGGGGCCAGGGAAGCTTCCAGGCATTCCCAGGAAGAGGAGGACGGGCAGGAGGCTCTGAAAGGGTTCCTTGGCTTCATTTTAGATTTTATGTGTGGGGAAAAAGGGAAGGTGGGTGATGAAGGAGCTGGGGGCAGATCCATATTCCAAAGCTTTTCCAACCCTCCTCCTCCTTCCTGATGATGATTTTTCCCATGTTTTCTCCATCAGGAAGGCAGCAAAGCGTGAGATCCTCCTGTGTGACTTCGAGGGTTGTGGCAAAATCTTCTCCAACCGCCAGTACCTGAACGTGAGTGCCTGGGAAGACCAGTGCTTTCTGGAGCACTGGGGAGCCTGCGTGCTGGGGTGTCCTGGAGCTGGAATTGGGAGCTGACAGGTTTTTTCCCCCCCGGCAGCACCACCAGAAGTACCAGCATGTGCACCAGAAAACCTTCACCTGCTCCGAGCCCACCTGTGGGAAATCCTTCAACTTCAAGAAACACCTGAAGGAACACGAGAAGCTGCACAGCGGTGAGTGGGGCATTTCCATGGGAATCACACCTCCTCCCCTACGGATTACACCTCCCTGGACATCCTCCTGTAGGGGTTACAACTCCTCTGTATGGATCCCTGTCACAGGGATCACACCTCCCTTATGGATCACACTTCCTGTACGGATTCCACCTGCTCCCGTCGGATTCACACCTCCTGTACCCCCTTCCCCACCCATTCCCAAATTCCCATCCCTGGGAGCTATCACTGTTGCCCTTTGCTCCCAAAATCTCTCCTTTTATCATCTCCATTCCCACGCTGGAAAGTCTCCCTGCTCCCAAAGCACATCCCGAGGGCCCTGATGGTTTTTCCAGGCTGGATCAGCCCGATCCCTTTTCTTTTCCTCCCAGACAAGCGGGATTACATCTGCGAGTTCTGTGCGCGCTCCTTCCGCACCAGCAGCAATTTGATCATCCACCGACGGATCCACACCGGGGAGAAGCCACTCCAGTAAGTCCCAGTTCCATTTCTGACTTGCCAGTAAGTCCCATCCCTGCCCTTCCAGTAAATCCCAGTCCCATCCCTGCAGCTCTGCTCAGCCTCAGAGTCTTTTGCCACCCTTTTCCACCCAAAATCAGCTCCTCAGCAATCCAGCCAAAAGCCAAGCTGAGATTTCTCCCGAGGTTTCTGCCCTTGGAGCTCCAGGCTCAGCTCCAGGGCAGTGTTTAAGCAGGCACAGCTTAATGAGCTGGAACAGAACGAAGGATGACTCCTGTCCAACCCATTCGTGCCAGGAGGACACTGGAGCTTCAACCCACGGCACATTCCAGCCCTGAGCATGGCAGGGCCGGCTCTCCCTGTGCCTCATCCTTGGGGACTTCTACTCCCCCAGGTGTGAGATCTGTGGCTTCACCTGCCGCCAAAAAGCCTCCCTGAACTGGCACATGAGGAAACACGATGCTGACTCCTTCTACCAATTCCCGTGTGATGTCTGTGGGAAGAGGTTCGAGAAGCGGGACAACGTCACCGCTCACAAGAGCAAGAGCCACCCCGCGGGGCTCCCCCAGCCCGAGGGAACCCAGCAGCACCCGGAGCCCCCTGGGCCCGTGGAACCTCTGGAGCTGCTTGGGGATGTCCTGGGGAGAGGGGGGGATGCAGGGAGGATCCCACTGGAGTATGGGGTGGGGGATGCTGGGCAGGATCCAGGCACGCCCCAAGGCCACGGGGTGGGTGATGGGGGGTCCTAGAGGGCTTGTCCCCCAGTTTGGGGACTGGAGCAAAACTGGGGACGGTGCTGGACCAGGTGCCAAAAATACATGGGAGAGACAAAACTGGGGAAAATCACAGTTTTTCAGCCAAATCCTAGATGAAATCCCAAGTTTTCAGCCAAATCCCTGGGACAAATCCTTTTTTTTTTTGTTGTTTTTTTTGCCAAATCCCAGCTTCCCTCGAGCCCAGCAGTATTGCCACAAGTGGATCCACAATAAAGACTTATTTTGGGTAAAAGTGGGATTTGGTGTCAGATTTTTATGGAAAAATTCTAGAAAAGTGATATTTGGATGGTTTGGACACAGGAAAATGGGTTGGAGAGGGGGTGGAGACACCAAACACCCAGGAACTGGGGACCCAAACTGGGATGAGAGGGAGCTCCCAGAGAGTCTGTGTCTCCAAACTGGGATGGGTGGGAGCACATATTTGAGCTGTGCCCCAAAAATGGGATGTGAGGCAATGCCCAGTGGGGCTGTGTCCCAAAAGTGGGAGCTCCCAGTGCTTCAAACTTCTCCTTTAAACATCATTTAAATTTCTTTTTAAAACTCTGATTTAAATTTGAACTTACAGATACTTGGAAGCTCCAAGTTGGGACCATTTAGTGAATTGCAAGTGCCCCCAAAACCCCTCGGTGCTCTGCCCCAGCAGGTTGGGGACAAGGGCATGTCTCTGTCTCCATTCCCTCCTGAGCACAAGCAGCTTTTCCTCCTCTCCCAGCACCAAAAACCCCCAAATTATCAGGTTTTAGGAATTTTTTTTTGCACAGCAACTTTTATTTCCCCACTAACAGTGACAGGGCAAAGGACACGAACAGCAGCAGGGGCAAGGGCACAAGGGGAGCGGGCAAGCGCAAGATCACACCTAGAACACAGAACCCCCCCCCCGGACAGTGGGGGAGATGAGGAGGTAAAGAGGGACATGGGGGGGGGCTAAATGGGGGAGATGGGGACAAAAGGAGGGGGGACAATGGGGGGGCAATAGATGAGAGAGGGGGATCACTCAGCAACAGCAGGACGGGCTTGGCCCTTTCCCCAGGGGGAATGGGATGGGATGAGACAGGATGGGACGGGTAAAGATGACTTGCAAAGCAACGGTGTCCAAACTGGGGGGGACGACACCCCTCCTCTCCACACAGTATTTTAGGGGGGACACAAAGCTTTGGCTACTATTCGAAGTAGGATGGGATCAGCCTCTCCCTGTTTCACGGGGCTCCAACTCCAAAGAAAAACACAAAATGAACTACAGGGGTGTTTAACCAGCAATAGGGAAGGGGTGCTTAAGTAGCATCCCCTCACCAACCAACCCCCCTGAGGAAGATTTTGAGGGTAAAAAGACTCCAAACTTTGAACTGCAACAGGAAAAAAATGCCCCCCTGAACAGCCAAGGGCAAGATTTGGGGTGTTTTGCTTGGAAGCAAAGGAAAACCTAAGGATGGCAGGGGAGAGGGGACACCATCAGTGAGCGGGGCGGGCTCAGTTGCAGAGGGACAGCGAGGAGCCCACATAAAAGAGCCAGAAAAACGGGAAGATCCTCTCGGAGAAGGCGGCGGTGAAGGTGAAGATGGGAGCCATGTTGTCAGCGTTGTAAAACGCCACCCACCCGCCCTCGTAGTCCAGGTACACCCCGATCTTGCGCGGCCGCTCGCAAAGGGACAGCGGCGTCTCGGGAGAGGTGAACGCCTGGTACTGATCCCAATTTTTACCCTTCCAGTTGAGCCCCACTGCCCAAATCCCCTCCTCGGGGGCGAAGTCGACTTTCTCCTTGCGGCGCACGGACTCGCGGGCGGCGCCCAGCACCCAGCTCTCCCCGTCTCCCACCTCCACCTCCCAGTAGTGGCGGCCAGCAGAGAAGCCCTCGGAGGCCAGGACGCAGAAGGCGTAGTCGAAACGTTTGGGATGAGCCGGCAGCTCCTGGGGAGCCCCGCGGAGCCGCACGCTGCGCTTGTCCTCCGACAGCACCAGGTAAGGGTTGGCCGTGTCAGGGTCCAGGGAGAGCTCACCTGGAGGGGGAAATGGGAGGGGTTACCCGTGGGATTGCCAGGCTGGGCTCGGTGTGCCAAACCCAGCGGGGAGGACGGAGGGGGGTCGCCTGTGGAATCGTGATGGGATTGAGCCCAAATGATGGTTTGTGTCCCAAACACAACGGGGACAACACAGGTGAGTCACCTCTGGGATCATCGTCCCACCTGTGTGGGGACTGATCAACTGTCTGTGCCCCAAAGCAGAGGGGAAGGACCCAGGTGAGCCACCTGCAGCATCCTGAAGAGCCCACACAGACGCCAAGCCCAGCAATTCCAACCTTAACCCTTGAAAAAGGGAGGTTAGAGCCCCCATAACCCCCGGCAAATTCCCGCATTATCTCTTGGAAAAGGGAAGTCACGTCCCCAAATCCCAGCCAATTCCATGCAAACCCCTTGAAAAGAGAGGTCTCATCCCAATGCCGATGGCCTCACCTGTGTCATTCTCCAGCTCAAAGCGCAGGTTTTCTGTGGGAAGAGAAGGAAGGCATTGAGGCCCCAGAACTGCCCAAGCCATGGGAATGATCCCCACTCCACACTTCCACACCCAAATCCCAGGAAAATCACTTTTCCACCTCTTCCCTGGGATGAGCCAATGCTCAAACAACCAAGAGCTCTCCCAGCCAGCCCAGGGTGGAAATTAGGGCCCAGCTCCATCCCAGCCCTGATTTTGGTGGACTTTCATGTGGGATCCTGGCTGGGAAGCAGTGGTTGTTTTTTTTCCAGGAAGGCTCACCCTTGAATTCCAGCAGCACTTCCTTGAGCACTGCGCTCTTCTGGGAAAAACTCTTCAGCTTCTTCTCCAGCTCAGAAAAGCCAGGCTCAGGCTTGAGGAACATCCAGCTCTCCAGGCTGCGGAGACATGGGAGTCAGGGACCCAAAACCAAGGAATTCCCCCTGGGAAGGGTTGGAATACCAGCTCCAGCTGCTGTCAGAGCCTCCAAGTTCACCCAGTTCACTCACCTGCTGCCAACTGGGACGACACCCTGGAAGGGGAAGAAAACCCAAGGAATTTGTTAGGATCAGCATCTCAGAGATCTTAAAATCCTGCCCGAAACCTGGGAGGATCCCATTAAGGGATTTTTATCGCCATATAGGTATTTTTGTATCTAGAAGTAGAATTTCTCACCCCATTAACATAATTTTTTCCCCAATAAATTTATTTCCCCAATAAATAAATAAATATTTTGACCCATAAATGGAAATTCTCGCCTACATAAATGGAACCTTTCTCCGCTTTTTTTTCACCCCATAAACAGGACTTTTTTCCTTCCCATAAACAGAATCTTCATCCCCATAAATAGGTTTTGTCCCTCTAATTAAGGGTAATTAGGATATCTAGGTTAATTTGGGTATCTAATTAGGGTATTTCAGCCCAATACAAGGGATTTCTGTGTCCATAAATGGGAATTTTTTTCCGTGGAGACACACAACAGAGTCCCACCTCGCCAGGTGTGCTCCCTGTCCCGCTGTCCCCGCCGCCCTGCTCTGCCAGGAGCTTGTCCAGCTGGGCAATGTCCTCAGCCAGCCTGGCCACGCTCTCGTCCCTCCGGCGCCCAATGTCCCTCTCCAGCTCCTCCAGCCGGGAGAGCAGGAGCTGCTCCTTCTCCTCCAGGAACGCCCGCAGCTCCTTGCACTCGGCCACGATCTTCTGCCGCTCCACCTCCGTCTGCTTCTGCAATTCCAGGGGGAAACAGCCCTGTGAGGGCAGAGCCCCGCAGCCCAGGGAATCACCCCCAAGGCAGAGAGGATCTCTGGGGGCTCCCCACGGGGAGGGGGAACCCCCCTCAGGTGGGAGTGAATTTCCACAGGGAATCCCCAAGGGAGGCTGAAGCCTCCTGGACTCACCAGCAGCTCCTCACTCTGCCGCTCCCGCTCAGCCTTGGCCTCCTCACGCCCTTTCCTCAGGGAGCTCAGGTGCTCCTGGGGCACCTCCTGAAAGCACAGCAACAGATCCCTTGGGAATTCTTCCCGTGGGCGATCAGCAGAGAAGTGCTGCTGCTGCTAAAATGGCCAAATTCACCCAATCTGGGGGTTGGTTGTTTTTTTTTTTTGGAGCTGGAAGCAGCAGCTGCCCTCCTGGCTTGCTGACCTAAGGCTGTGCCAAAACCACCAAAATGCACACCGACCAGCCCAAAAACAGAAGGAAAAAAAAAAAAAAAAAGCAGCCAATTAATTTTATCTGCCTGTGAGGAAACAAATGCTCTGGTCCCACCCCCCGTCCTCCTCCCAGGATTATCTCCCACATTTCCTCTCCTCAGGGCGCCCCAAAAGTGGGTTGGACCCCCCGCTAAGATGAGGAACTGCTGCCTCTGAACTGCTCTGCTCATTAAATTATTAATTAAACTCATCCTTATTTAAGTAGTTTGACCTCCATGTAGGGCAGAGAAGCCCCAGCAATACTGTGCAAAGAGCAACTAGCCCTGGGGGCAAATAAAACTACTTATTTTATAACCAAAACCCTAAATATAAGGATTCTGACTGTTAAGAGCCAGAAGTTGCTGCCTTTGGAATTTATCCATGAGATGAAAGCAAGTATCAGGGGAAAAAAAAAAAAAAAAAAAGAGAGAGAAGTGAGGATCTCAGCAACAACCGATTATCAAACACTCATAAAAGTAGGTTAACGAGGGGGGGAAAAAAAAATCCCAAGGGAGCAACAACCTGGATCTACCTAAGAACGTTTGTGCCCTGAAAAAAAGGGGTAAAATCCCAGATTTGGGGCGGGGGGAACAGCCCCAGCGTCCCCGGAAGAGGAACCACGGCAGTTCCGGGACAAAACCCCCTCTAAAAGGATTTAACAGCCACAATAATTAATACGCGGTGGTTAATGATCCCACAATCCCCTTCCCTGGTCCTTCGGGATCGTGCTGGTGCCACCCTCCTCCTCCTGCTGCCACTGCGCAGCGACATCGGCTCCGCCCGGCATCTTGGATCCCTCAGGATCCGCTGCTCCAGCCTGGAATTCCGAGCCTGCCCACCCACATCGAGCCCTCGCGCTCTTACGCTTACAAATTAATTCCCACTGTGATCGCGACACGCCCCGTATCGCGACAGAGGGGAGCCCCAGCGACAACGGGGGGGGCGCCGTTTTCGCTCTGCGTCACTCCCTCGGGATGGAGGGGGGGACAGGCGGCTCCTGTGCCACTTCCAGCCTGATCCCCGATGGGGATCAGGGATTAAATAACGCCCTGCTCCTCCCCGCTCCCAGGCTCAGCTCGGTCCTGCCCCCGCTGGATTTTGGGGGGGCTGGTGGGATTTTGCACGATCATCGCCGCCCCTCGGGACACCCCTTTCCAGTACTCTCCCAGTTCAAACCAGATGGATCTCGCACCTGCACCCCATCCCGGGGTGTCCCGTGTTTTGGGGTGATTCGGGTTCTTCTGCGCCCCCAATTCTGGAGAAAGCAGCGCCCAGCTGGGGAGGGGATCCCCCGTGAGATCCGGCACCCCACACGTGGGGTGGGGGTCTGGGGGCTCATTTCTGTGCTCCCCGTGGAACTGGGGCTTCCCCTGCACCCAAAGGAGGAGGAGGGAGTCCCTGGGTATGGGGGGGGTCCCTGGGATCCCCTCACCCCGTGAGATCTCCTTGGGCTATTCCTGATCTGACTACACCCCCCATTTCTTAGGAGGCGGTCCAGCACCCCAAAAAAGACCCGGGAGGGAGCAGGGCCCTCACTGCCCCCCCAAAACCCCGAGGAGGGGGGGCTCACAGCGCTCCCCCTCTCCGGGAAAGCGCTCCCGACGGGAGAGAGAGCAATCCTCTCCTCCCTCCGAGCCGGGCGCGGAGCGGGGCTATCCCGGCACTGACCTCCGCGGCGTGGGCCGCCTCCTCGGCGGGCAGCACGGTGTGGGCGCGGTGCTCGCGGGACAGGTGGCACACCACACACACGGCGCGCCGGTCCTGCACGCAGTAAAGCCGCAGCGGCTCCCCGTGCCGCGGGCAGCGCGGCGGCCCCGGCGGCNNNNGGGCGCGGGCGGCCCCGGCGGCGGCTCGGCGGGGCCCGGCGGCAGCCCCAGCTGGCGGACGATGTGCACGATGTTGCCGAGGGAGCGGTTGGGGCGGAAGAGGCGCTGCGGGACCGGCTCGCGGCACTGCGGGCAGCACAGGCGCCGCGCCGAGTCCTCCCAGCACTGGGTCACGCAGGCGCGGCAGAAGTTGTGCCCGCACTCGGCCACCAGCACGGGGTCGTTGAAGTACTCCAGGCACACCGGGCACGTCAGCTCGTCCTGCAGGCTCCGCGCGGCGCTGCAGGGCGCGGGGGGCGCGGCGGGCGGCGCGGGCGGCGCCTCCATGGCGGCCGCGGTGCCGGTGGCGGCCCTGGCCCCGGTGGCGGTGCCGGTCGTGGCGCCGGTAGCGACAGCGAGCCCCAAAACTCTGCGCGTCCCCAAATTCTGCGCGCCCCCAAAGTCCGCGCGTCCGGCCCTCACGGTTCCACCGCCCAACTGACGGCCGAGAGGCCGCCCCGCGCCTGCGCCGGGGGAAGAGGCGGGGCCGCGCCTGCGCAGGAGGGGGAAAGGCGTGGTTTGCGCTGCATCTTATTAGGGTGGGCGTGGCCAGTGCTGCTCCTGGGATATAAGGGGCGCCACCAGCGGGTGTGGCAATGAGTGGGGGTGTGGCTGCGCTTGCGCAGAAGGAGAGGGGGCGGCTCTGGGGGCCATGGCCCTGAGGCCCCCCCACAGGAGGGGCCCGGGGGTCGCTGAGGGGTTTGGGGGTCCCTACAGGGTTTGAGGAGGGGTATCGGGGTCTGTGGGGTGCTGGGAAAGGAGACGAGTCCCCTACAGGCTGCTCAGACATGGGGGGGCTCCCGTGTAGGGGAGGCTGGACGTCTCAGTTCCAATAGAATAGGTGTAGGCGTCTACAGAATGTTTTGTAGGTCCATCACTGTGGGATTTGAGGGGTGCTTTGCGGTTTCTAGGATGGGTTTTGGGGGGCCCTGTTAGAGTTATGGCGGGTGTATCGGGGTGTATAAGGTGGCTTGGGGGGAATTCCTGTAGGATGAAGGAGGTTTACTGGGGTGGGTAGGATTTTTTGGGAGTCACTGTAGGATTAAGGGGTGGGTAGGATTTTTTGGGAGTCACTGTAGGGTTGCGGGGGGTGTATGGGGATCTATAGGGTGCTGGGAGGGTAGCAGTCCTATAGACTTAAGGATGATCTCAGATCCTTGAGAGTAGGGTGAGGTGGGGGCAGGCATGCAGAGGTTGTTTTGAGCATCTCCGTAGGATTTTGGGGACGTCTGGCATGAGGGGATGAGAGTTTAGGGGTTTGGGGGTGGTTTCCACAGCATCAGCTTCTCTGCCGTGTCCCCGCAAGTGTTAGAATTCCACTCCAGGAAGCTGAATTCAGGGGAAAAAATGACTCAAAACCTCCAGACGTAGAAAAGCGACCCCAAAACCTCCATCAGCCCTTTCCTAGGGGATTTAGAGATTTTACATCCCTACTGGGAGCAATCCCTCCTCCATGAGACAGATTGAGAACACAACAGCACCATTTAGCTGCTTTTCTTTAAGTTTCCTCACTGTCCGTGATGAGACTGGCTTCGGGGAGGAAATACTTTGCCACCATACGGTGGGGAAGGGCAGAAATTGGGGTCAAAAATGGTAAATTCAGGGTCAGAGCGGAGCTGCCCTCTTCCAAAATGGCGGCCTCGCCTTCAGGTAGGGCGCGAGGGAAAATGGCCGCGGCCTCCCTCTCCCCATTGCTGCCCGCGCGGCCCAGCTCAAGATGGCGCCTGCGGCCTGAGGCCCTGGGCGCCATCTTGGGTGAGGGCAGCCAGCCACCGTTGCCAGGCCGACCTGAGTGGGGGCGAGGGGAAAAACGACGTTTTGTCCCCCAAACTCCTCGTGGGGGTTCTTAGCACATTTTGGGGGGTTATTCTTTGATATTCCCTTGATGGAAAACTCCTTTTTTACCTCAAAAATCTGCCCTTTTTCCTGTTTCAGACGGCCGCCGCACTGGGGCGTCCTGCAGCCCCTTTCCCTCAGCCCACAGTGGTTAAAACACCCCCAGTGGTTAAAACCCCCCCACTCCAAATTTAGGGGGTCACTCCGCAGCCCCCCACAAGCAGAGACTGTGGGGTTCACCCCAGTCCCCACGGAGGGGCGGGAGAACCTCAAAACCACTTTTTAATTTTTTTTTTTTTACATTTTAGGGAAAAAAAACACACCCACCAGGACGTTAAAGAGAATTTTTTTTTCACTGAGCAAAGTGTTTTTGGTTTTTTTAAATTTCCGCCCAGCTCTGGCCGCCAGAGGGCCTCGGCCATTGTGCAGAGCTCTTTTCTGCCTCTTCCCCCAACCCTTTTTTTTCTTTTTTTCCTTCTTTTTTTATTTATTTTTTTTTTAAATTCCTTCTTTCCTTCCTTCCTTTCTTCCGTTTTCTAACTCTTATCGCTTAGGATATCGGAGAGACCCGGCTCATCTGCTCCCCACGTGCGCGTCCCCACTTTTTTTGGGGGGGAAAAAGGGATATTTTGGGAAAAAATAAAGGGGCAGGGGGGTGGGGGGGCTTTGCCGACAGCACCTCCCGAGCTGGACCTGCAGGTAACGGGAAGATTCGGGTTGGGATGTGGAAAAAAAGGCAGAAAAATGGCTTGTTTTTTCCCCATCCCCGTCCTTCCATCCTCCCCTCAGGGTCCCGGATTTTCCTCCCTCCAGTCCCAGGGAAGGGGGAAAAATGATAAAAAAATCCCCACCCCAAAATCCACCCCGTCCTTCCCCCTCGGGGGGTTTCCTTCAGATGCGTCGACCCCTTTTATTTCCATTTATTTTAGGAGGATGGCAAAACACCGAATAAATGAAGTGGCATGAGGTGCTGGTGGGGGCTCCATCCGCAGCCCCCCACAAGCAGAGACTGTGGGGTTCACCCCAGTCCCCACGGAGGGGCGGGAGAACCTCAAAACCACTTTTTAATTTTTTTTTTTTTACATTTTAGGGAAAAAAAACACACCCACCAGGACGTTAAAGAGAATTTTTTTTTCACTGAGCAAAGTGTTTTTGGTTTTTTTAAATTTCCGCCCAGCTCTGGCCGCCAGAGGGCCTCGGCCATTGTGCAGAGCTCTTTTCTGCCTCTTCCCCCAACCCTTTTTTTTCTTTTTTTCCTTCTTTTTTTATTTATTTTTTTTTTAAATTCCTTCTTTCCTTCCTTCCTTTCTTCCGTTTTCTAACTCTTATCGCTTAGGATATCGGAGAGACCCGGCTCATCTGCTCCCCACGTGCGCGTCCCCACTTTTTTTGGGGGGGAAAAAGGGATATTTTGGGAAAAAATAAAGGGGCAGGGGGGTGGGGGGGCTTTGCCGACAGCACCTCCCGAGCTGGACCTGCAGGTAACGGGAAGATTCGGGTTGGGATGTGGAAAAAAAGGCAGAAAAATGGCTTGTTTTTTCCCCATCCCCGTCCTTCCATCCTCCCCTCAGGGTCCCGGATTTTCCTCCCTCCAGTCCCAGGGAAGGGGGAAAAATGATAAAAAAATCCCCACCCCAAAATCCACCCCGTCCTTCCCCCTCGGGGGGTTTCCTTCAGATGTGTCGACCCCTTTTATTTCCATTTATTTTAGGAGGATGGCAAAACACCGAATAAATGAAGTGGCATGAGGTGCTGGTGGGGGCTCCAAAATACATAAAAATAAAGGGAAACATAGCAGGAGGGATCCGTGCCGGATATTGGCCGTTTATTCCCGACATCAGTAAGTTATTCAGAACCTGCAAATCCACCCTTTTCCAACCTCTCTTCCAGGAATAATAATAAATGAATAAAAATTAAAGGAATGATTGGGATCCTTACACACCTGCTGCTTCCTGAGGACGATGAGGAAGGGTGAGGGGAGCAACAGGAATTTGCTTTTCCATGATTTTTATAAAGGAAAGCATCAAATGCTCTTCCTATAGCTGGGAAAACTCCAGTTTTTCCCCTAAGGCTCAGGGGATAATGGGGAAATGATGGGGTGATTTATCCTTTTTTGGGCAGGAGGAGCGATTGCTGAGGGGGTTTGGGGGTGATCTGAAAAATTTGTGACAGGATTCTCTGGAAAGAGATTCCTAGACTCTGGGGATGGGCACCCAGGGTTTGGTGCATTAGGAATGAGTTGTGTGGGTAAAATTTGGGTGAAAATTAATTTTAGGCTCCAGATCTCTCAGCAGAGCCTTGTCTGCAGATGACAGAAACTTCTTCTTCCTGGGAGGCGTTTCATCCCTTTTCTTATTCCTTTATTTATTCCTTTTTAAGGAATCTTTGAGTTTCTTTTTTTCCCTTTCTGCTTCTTCCTGTGTATTAATTTTTGGGAAAAAAAGGAAAATTCCCGAGGCAGCAGGGGCAAAAGGTGGGAATTTCCTGCAGGACTGTGGGGCAGAAGAATGGACGGGTTTGTTCACCACCTGTCTCACACCCAGCTTGGCCTTGCCATTGGCTTATTAGGGAATAATTACCCATTAAATTTAAAATTACCCTGATCCTTTCTTCTGGGTTCCCAGAGCCCGGCCATGAGGTGGAGCTGGGGTGCTCAGAGTCCCTCTCCACTTTTGGGGACACCCCACGGCCAAGGTGGGAGGGGGGTCTGTGCTCCTCCCCCAGGATGGGAAAGGCCTTGGGGGGCCCAGGATACTGTGGAATGAGGGTCAGGGTGGGGATGTGGGCTGAGGGGGTGGCAAGGGAGCACATGGGGGCGCAGCCAAGAAGGTTTTGGGCGGGCACAGGGAAAGGAGAGATGGGGCAGGCTGAGGGTGGATTTGGGGAGAAGTAGATGTCATTCGGGCTGGTGGGGAGACACTTTTCCCTGTAAGCCTCCTCATCCTCTGCTCTACTAGTAGGGGGGTGAAAGGGGGGGGAACATAACTTGGGTGCATGGTAGAGTGAAAACACACAGGGAACCCTGTTCCCTGGGGATTTTTGGAGCCAAACAGCTCGGAAAAGAGCCCTGGCAACCTGTACCCATCACCAGCACAGCTGGGACCTCCCCAGACTCCTCTGGGGGTGTACAAAGGAACGGGTTGGGATGCATTAAGGTGGGAATGCTGGAGAAGCCAGGCCAGGTTTCCTGGGCTTGGAGTGACAGTTAATAAAGTAGAAGGCAGTTGAGCCAAAAAACAAAACCCCTCCATATGTGTCTGCGTGGTTTTGATTCTGGGGAAGAAGAAAGTGCTTGTGCCTGGAGCAGAGAAAGCATCAGAGCACAGGGTCGGAGCACAAAGAGACACAGGTGTCCATGAGGTGTGGGGCTCCCACTCGATTCCTGCCCTGTGCCAGCACCTCCTGCTCACCCTGAGCATCTTGCCCCCTCCATCCTCTTCTCCCGCCCGCTGGCAGCACAAAGTGGGCGCAACACCACTGGATTTTTGTATCAGAACCAGCCCTGGTTCCCCCACCCTTCCCTGATGGAGCCAAGCGCTGTTTCCTTTGGGAATAGGCTCCTTCTCCCCCAGCTCGTCCCTTTTCTGGGGTCTGGACTGCAGCAGGTGCAAATGTTCACCCATTGCTGTGGGGAGACACCAGGGCAGATAAATCTGTGCCACAACAGAGCACCCCTGTCACCCACCCCAGTGCCCTTCAAGTGTCACTTGTTGTCCTTGCTTGTCGCCAAGACAAGTTTTCCCTCCGTTGTGTCTTCACCTCCATCACACCGAGGGACATCTGAGTCCTTAGGGATCCTCGCTGCTCTGAGCTGCAGGCGTGTCCCCAGCGAGCCGTGTCCTGGCAAGGGGCGAGGGCCCCGCAGCCTTGGGGAGGTGGCTGCGGCGGTGCTTGGTGAGATGCGAGCCCTGGCTGAAAGCCTCGCCGCACTCGGGGCACTTGTAGGGCTTCTCGCCGGTGTGAACGCGGCGGTGCCGCTCCAGGTGCGACGCCCAGGCAAAGCCCTTCCCGCAGTCGTCACAGGTGTAGCTCTTGTGCGCAGCATGGCCACGCTGGTGCACCAGGAACAGGGGCGCTTCCCCGAAGCGCTTCCCGCAGTCGCCGCACTTGTAGGGCCTCTCTGGCGAGTGGGTCTTGCGGTGCTGCAGCAGATGAGCCTTCTGGGTGAAGCGCTCGCCGCAGCTGCTGCAGGGGAAGGGCCGCTCGCCGGTGTGGACGCGCCGGTGCCGCTCCAGGTGGGACGCCCACACGAAGCCCTTCCCGCAGTCGCTGCAGCGGTGCGAGTGCTCCCGGCGATGGCACCGCTGGTGCCGCGCCAGCGCCGGCCCTGCCCGGAACAACTTCCCGCAGTCGCCGCAGCGCAGCGCCTTCCTGCCCAGGTGCGTGCGGCGGTGCCGCGCCAGGTCGGAGCTCTGGCAGAAGGTCTTCCCGCAGGCCGGGCAGCGGTGCGGCCGCTCGCCCGTGTGGCTGCGGCGGTGCTTGGCGAGGTGCGAGCCCTGGCTGAAAGCCTCGCCGCACTCGGCGCACTCGAAGGGCTTCTCGCCGGTGTGGACGCGCCGGTGCCGCTCCAGGTGCGACGCCCACACGAAGCCCTTCCCGCAGTCCTCGCACTTGTGAGGTTTGTCGGCGGCGTGGCCGCGGCCGTGGGCCGCCAGCTCGGCCGCGGCGCCGAAGCGCTTCCCGCAGTCGCCGCACTTGTGCGGGCGGTCGCTGGCGTGGCTGCGGCGGTGCTGCAGCAGGTGCGAGCTCTGGCTGTAGGTCTCGCCGCACTCGGGGCAGCCGAAGGGCCGCTCGCCCGTGTGCACGCGCCGGTGCCGCTCCAGGTGCGACGCCCACGGGAAGCTCTTCCCGCAGTCGGCGCAGCCGAACGGACGCTCCCGGGCGGGGCCTTTTCCACGCAGGGGTTTGACACAGCTGAGTTTGGGGAGCGTGGTGGGTTTGGGGGTCCCAGGGGGGACGGCTTTGTCTGGGCGCTTCGCTTTGCGCCTGTGGGAGCCCAGGGGCTTCTCCCGCTCCAGGCTGTGGGATGAGTGTGGCCTGAGCCCAGCACTGCTCTCCGCTGCTCCTTTCTCCACGGCTTTTTCACTCACCAGCCCCTGAGCTGCTGGGAAAAGGGAGAAGCAGGAAGAGGTGAAAGCGTGAGGAGCAGGATTTAAAACAATGGAGTAGCAACAGGATTCTCCTTAAAAATTTCACTTTTTCACTCACCAACCCCTGAGCTGCTGAGAAACAGGAGAAGGAGGAAAAGGGGAGGGTGTAGACCTGATTGGAGCAGGGGTAGGATATAAAACAATAGAGCAACAACAAGATTCCCCTTAAAAATCTTGTTCTCCCAGAGAGGAGGAAGAGAGATACAACACGGACCTGATCCCAGTTTGAACTGGAAATGTGGACGTGCCAGGGGCACTCCAGTGCCAGAATTTTCAATTTAAATTAGGAGAGATCAATAACATTTTCCTGAATAAAAATAATTCAGGAGAGGGCTGGGGCTTGGGAAAATCCCCCTGGAAACTTGCCCAGATCCCTCCGCCCCTCTTCCCAAGCTGCTTTGCTTGGAGCAAGGAAGGGATAGGGGGACATACAACGAGGAAGGAGATTTTGGGGGTGTCCTTACCCAGGGACATGAGGGTCTCGTAGCTCTCGTGCATCACGTCGAGGTACAGGGCCTTCTGCCGCGGATCCAGCAGCACCCACGGCTCCATGGCAGAGGCAGCACCGGGACAAAGCAGATCCCTCCCTCGGGGCTCCCCAAAATCCCCTGCAGGGAGGAGAAATCCCTTGAAACCAAGGAATTCCCCACACACAATGCCTCCTGCTCGAGGCTTCACGCTTTTCCTCTGGTCACTTCGAGTTTTCATAGTCCCTGCATCCAGGACTAATCCCCAGAGCAAGGAGGGGACAGTGGGGCAGAAGGGTCCCTGCTTTGCCCCTATTTTCTGGCAGACCCCATCCCACGGCAGCCTCTTCCTCCCCGTGCCACCGGGGATCAGCGGCGGGGCCCTGGGGGGAGCATCCAGGAACACCCAGGAGCGTCCAGGAGCATCCAGGAGCATCCAGGAGCATCCAGGAGCATCCAGGAGCATCCAGGAGCATCCAGGAGCATCCAGGAGCATCCAGGAGCATCCAGGAGCATCCAGGAGCATCCAGGAGCATCCAGGAGCATCCAGGAGCATCCAGGAGCATCCAGGAGCATCCAGGAGCATCCAGGAGCATCCAGGAGCATCCAGGAGCATCCAGGAGCATCCAGGAGCATCCAGGAGCATCCAGGAGCATCCAGGAGCATCCCCACCGCTGCGGAGCGCAGGGCTCCCTCTCCATCCCGCCTGCCCCGTGCCCCCTCCCCAAAGGAGCTGCCGCCACATCCCCGCTCCTCTTTCTCCCCGTTTACCTGCCGTCCCCGCCCTCCGCGGGGCTTTTCCTTGGCAGAGGCGTCCTCCGTGGCCGCGGAGGGAGGGGGCGATGCCCAGAGCCCCCCTTGCAGCCCCCACACAATGGAGGCGATGCTCCGGAAGGCCAAGCGGGTATCCGGGAGAGAAGGGGAGAGGCTGAGCAGCAGCTCGGCTTAGCCAGAGCCCTCTAGAGGCAACGCAGCCCCAGAGCTGTCCCCAAACCTCTTTTTGTGGAAAATGTGCGCGTTATGACTGGCCCTCCGCAAGTTCTAAAATGAATATTGTGTGTGTTATGTTAGAAAGTTGTGCTGTATTAATTTTCTTAGGTGGTGCGTTAAGTGTAGTTTTAGGTAAAATTAATACAGCATAACTTTCTAACATAACACGTACAATATTCATTTTAATACTTGCGAAAAGCCAATCATAAAATACACATTTTTCACAGGTTGTAACACAATGTTAAAATAGAAACTATGCTATGTAAGGTACTCTTTTTAAAGAAAGGACTGGCACCAGATAGCAGCCACGGGACTCCTAAATCTTCCAGAGAAAGAGAATTTATTGCTTCCTTATCAGCAGAAAACTAACTTCTTCCCGCCTTGTTCAGTCAAAAAGACACCCAGGCAAAGTCCTGTGATTGAATGGAATTTCCTCATCGTGTGTGAGGTGTATGAATATGCAACAGGTGCTTATTTTTAAGGGTTAATTCTCTGTTAACGGGGGTCCTTTTTGGAAAAAAACTCCTCCCTGGTGCATTAATTTCTTGCATCATGCCCCCAGTCCCAAAAGTGTTGCCTCAGAGTGCCACGAGTACGTGCCACAGGTGTATCCAGGGAATCCTCTGGGCAAGCAGGAAGTGAAGGACAAGAAAAAGCTTTGAAAGGGCATCTTTCCTCAACAGGACCTGCCCACACCTCTCCAACCTGTGCCTGCCGGCCCAGACACTCATTAAGGCTAATTATCTCATTAATAAATCCACATGGGGTTTTTCCTCCCCTGTGCTTTCCGTAATCTGTCCTTTTTCATCTCCACAGGGAAACGCTCCCAGGTGAGCGCCCTCCTCCACTGCAGGTGCCCTCCAACACACCCACGATGTCCCACACCCCGCGTGGAATGAAACCCCATTTCTTTTTCCCACTCCTTCCATTAAGAAAAATCAGCCTTGAACCCAGAAAATACCAGTTTGGAGAGAAATCACCATCCCTTCTCCCACCCTCTGGTTCCCTGCCTTGTGATGCAACTGGTGCCAGGAAATTCGCCTTCCCGTAACCTTCAGGGAATCAACAGATGGCGGCAGGAAGATGGGAGGGACAGCTTTTGCAACTGGTGGGTTGTTGATGCCCGGAAAATAATTCCCCATCATTGAGGCTGATCCCAAAGCAACTGGTTGGGACACGCCTTAATCCAGGTGTTACCAGGACAATGTGAGACCAGCTGCCTTCACTCCAAACTCTCTGCTCTTCCTGGGAATGTGTATCCGTGCCAGTTTCGTTGTGCAATTCCCAAATCTCTTGGGGTTTGTTTTTCCAGAGGGAGAAAATGTGTGGTTTTTGGAGGTTCAGTGTTGACACTCCATAGGGGAACAACCAGCGAATCATAAAACATAAAACCAGACCCAAACCAAGGGAGTTTTTTCCCCAAAAAATTATACTTTTACTTTTTTCCAATCCAGCTGGTGGATCTTAAATGGAGACATGCTCCAAGACAAAAAAAAAAAAAAAAAGAAAAAAAAAAAAGAAAAAAAAAAAAGAAAAAAAAAAAAGAAAAAAAAAAAAGAAAAACCTTCAGTCCTTCAGTTTTTCTTAGAAAGAAACTTTCCAAAGGTGTTTGTCACCCAATTTTAACCAAGACAGCACGGTGACATCCATTTGGAAGGAGTCATCCCTGCCGTCATGAACTCACAGCTACAAAAACCGTCAAGGACCCCAAAAACATCCTGTGGCTCGTAGGATTGTAGCGTTCCATTGTGAAACTTCCCCACCCTGGGGGATGTACCGCCTGAATCCCAACACATATAATCTCGAGGTTTAATTACTTGGGACACCAGTTAAACACTGCAATCACTTCAAGAGCCCTGAAACTACTGCTTAATCTGTCTGTGGCCACCACCCTGCCTCACGGGCTGTGCTCTGTGGTTTTAAGGCAATTTTCTGTATTCATTGCATTTGTTGTAATTTTTCTATTAAATTGTAACTCTGGCTTAAAAATCTCTCACAAGGTATTCGTGTGGGGTTGGTTTCCCCTGCTGGTTTACCTTCAAACCAGCACGACCAGGAACAGGGCGTTGGGAATCCTGCAGGAACCACAAAAATACCCCCACACGCCACCAAAAAGCAAAACTCTGGGTAAAACCCGTGGCTTCTCCTGAGGAGATCCCTTGAACACAACACCACAAGCCCCCAGTTTCCCTGCCACAATTCCAGCTGGACTGGGAGATCCCATAAATGCAATCTGTGAAGACCCGTGACATGAATCTCCAAAATTCTACCTAAATTTTGTTTGACTGAATGTTCCTTCATCCTGAGATATTTTGTGACCATATTTAGTGGAAAGAGATGGCTCATCAGATTAGTTTATGGTGCATTGGCAAGTCCAGGGTCTCCATTCTGGAAAAACACTGATCTCATTTCTAGAAAAATACCCAGTTTTTGCCATTTCAGTGAAGCTCTGGATGATCTTTAAGGTCTCCTTCCCACCCAAACAATTCTTCATCCTCTCTGTTATAACAGAGGCAAGGTCAAGCCAAAATTGTCAACACCTAAGAGCACCCAGTAGATGAATTTTCCCCAGAAACGCTCATTTTCACCCCTGAAATCATATTTTGAATGCCAGCTCAAGGCCTCCCCGGGGTTCAGAAGGATGCCCGTGATGGTTGTACAGATTTCAGCGGTCTTTGTGCAATACCAGGAAAAAAGCCCCAAACCTGATTGTTCCCTTCTGGGAAATTGCTGCCTCTGGAGCAGGGTGCGGTCATTATGTCAGGGTAAAGATGATACACCCCAAAACAGTGGACAGCTGACTTTACTCCATTGAGTAAAGGGGGAAAAAAAAAAAAACAAACCAGCAGAGGAACTGACTCTGCTCAGTTTCTGGTTCCCCTTCTGATGACAAGTCACTCCCTTCCGGGTTGCACTGATTGACAGAGGGTTTTTTTGCAAGCACCAGGTTGCTTTTCTTTTTTTTTTTTTTCCCCTTAAGCTGGGGTATAAAATGAATTCCAATCTCAGCAGAGGATTCGTCTTCCTCCTGGAGAGATGACTGGGACTGGTGAGTGACTCCTCCCCTCAATCCTGAGATCTCAGTGGGATTTTTCCTGGTTTTCTTTCATCTTTGTTGCCTGGGTTTGGAGTTTTGTTTCCATCTCTTTGCCACCTCCCGTTTTTCCATCTGGATTCTTCCGTGGTCACCTGGAGCTCCAGACACCGTGGGCAGGGGGAGACCTCCCTTCAAATATGAGGTGTGGGATGATCCTGGTTTTCCAGGAAGCACAGGCACGAGCTTGGGGTCTCTGGGGGCCATCCTGCAGGATGCCTCCGTGCTCCAAGTTGGTGCTTTCTCCGCATCTTCCAAAAAACACCTGATGGAAGGTGGAGATCCAGCTGACACCTCCAAGAGCCGCTCCCAGGATATTTGCTGTGATCTCCAAGCAGGATCTCCCAAATGGTCCTAAAGGTTTTTTCCAACCCAGCTGTGATGATTCTGTGATCAGGGCAGGTCAATCCAAACTTATCCCACTGTTAACAGGACTTCTTAGATCCTTCCTAATTGTTTTTTACACTCGTGGTCGGTGTCTTGGTCAGCTCAAGGGGCTGTTGAAACACCTGCCTCAGGTGTGGGATGATGAAGGCTCCAAGGTGGATTCCTGACAGATCCATCCCAAATCTGGGGCTGCTCCAGGAAAAAAAAATCCCAAAAAAACACAATTCCCAGGGATTTTTCAGCAGTAAGAATTACCCAAAGTAGGGTTTCCAAAGCTTTTTGTTTTTCCCTGAAAGAGAACTGGCAGCACTCAGGAGAAGGAAAAGAAAATGAAAGTTGCTCTTTAGTTATTTTGAAAAGCAGAAACCAAAACCAGGAAAATCCCAAGGCGGGGGGGAGAGGGAGGAACGGGGGACAGGATGGGACAGAGTGTGGCTCTCAGCCCAAATTTTCTTTCACTGTGAAAATGTTAATTAACATTGTGTCTGTTCTGATGGAAATGGGCTGTTCATTTTGGGTCTGTTTCCTGCTCCCTGTGGGCATCTCAAAGACACAATAACTTTTAAGGAGAGGATTTTAAATTGGGAGGGATTTTTAAAAGGAGGGGATTTTAAAGGAGGGAATTTTAAAGGAGAGTAAAATTCTCTTCTCTAAAATTAAGTAGAAAATTTTTAATTGGGGAATTTTAAAGATAAATCCCATCTCTCTTCATCCCTCTAATTCAACCACCTTTCTGTGAAATTTTATCTCAAGCTCTCCTGTCTGTGCAAGTCTTCATCAGATCCATCTGCCCAATCCTGTCTTTTCCCTCCACCCTTCACATAAAAACTCCCCGAATTACCCAGGTATGGGAAAGGTCACTGGGGACAATGAGGTGCCTCGATTCTTTGCACATGAGTGACACTAATTACCGTTCTTGAAAGCTTTGGAGCTTATTCTAAGAAGGTCAGAGTCATTTTGGGAACTCACCACAACAGCTGTACAAGCAGAACATGAATATGGAGAACTAAAAAATCATCTATGGGCCGATTTCTCTTAGAATACGGGAATCGTCGTCACCGACGTCTCCTGGCGCCTTCCATGATGGGCCTGCTGGTGCCAGGGATTTCACAACCACCCCAGTTCCTCTTTTTAGGTCTTGGATACCACCATCCTTGGAGCCACTTTGTGCCAATGCCGTGTTATCACCTTCTCTTCTCTTCTTGCCTCCCCAGTCCTCTTCCAAATCCTCCTGCTCGCGGGTCTCCTGAGCGCCAAGCGGTTCCCGTGCTTTCCCGAGTATTGTCTCCATGACCGGGACTACGAGGAGCTGCTGCAGATTGTCCAGGAGGGGCTGGAGCCCACGGCCCACCCGGCGCACGTGGTGGTGGTGGGCGCGGGCATCGGCGGGCTGACGGCAGCCAAGCTGCTCCGG